TTCGTAAATCTTTTTTTTGTCATATGAGTAAACTAATTCATTCATAAATCAATGTTCATTATATTATTAAGCCCAAAATAGAAAATAATCATATGCTTAACCCTATTTTCATATGCTGAAAATAATAAAATAAAATGTTTGATTTTTTCAAGAAATATACATATATGATAATTTTGAAACAAGAAAGGTGTGGGAAGATTTACATATCTTCCTCCATTCTAAAAAATTCACTTCCTCCCAAGATAATCAAAGCCTAATAACAATCATTTGAACATATTAGAAACAATCTAGCTCTCTAAAATCTATTTATCACCTGAAACTACATAAAATATTTCAAACTCTCCTAAATCGGAAATATAGATAGCTTTCACATCATTCACTAAAATGACAATACCATAAGCTACAAAACTCGAAATTGAGACTTGTTTAATGCATTGAAAACTAAACTTAATAGGCTTTCTATGATATAACTCTCAACACTTAGTTCACTGAAGAAAGAGTGCAAAATAATTTCAAAATTTCCCCTGGCATTGCTATCAGGTAGTTTTCACTGTCTTTACAAAAAAAAAAACCATATTTTTACATAAGAAACTCAGAATCCACTTTTGTTTAATTCATTAGAAAGCAGACTCATGTAGCTTTCCAACTATATATAACTCAAAAGGAAAAAGTTCTAAAAATCAATATTAAACTAGACTCAAAGTGATGGTACAATATATGAAACTCGATTCTTTCAGCAAATTCCCTTTTCTATTTTTAATACAAATTCTTGTAAATCAATCAAGTATTTTTCTTCAATTAAAAAGAATGTTTTTACTCACCTTGTGATGATAAATCTACCAATAGCCTTTGTTTGTTTATTCTTTAATTTGCTCTTGAAAATCCCAAAATGTTACACAAAAGTATTCTTGTGAAATTCTTCTTAGCTTTAGGTTTTCTTCACTGAGGTGGCTATCTATGTTTAGATGCTATATTTATATTAATGCTAATTTTATTCTAATAAACTTCAACATATGAAAATGGTTTAAGCCCTATTATTTTAAAAGCCTATTTGTTTCACTTAGGATATGTCAATACCTTAACCCAGATATTATTTGGGCTTGGGTCTTCCACAGTTTGATAGAAGAGATTACTTATATACTATAGGGGAT